AAAATTAGTAAATTATGTGGAACTGTGTAAGTTTTTTAGTGAACTTGAATATATTTTCATTGATTTAAGTCTAGAAGGTATAGATACGTTCTGAAAATTAAGAAAATATTTTTTTTTTATATGAATTTCAAGAATTTTCCATTTTCCATTAAATTATTTTTTTTTTTTTTTTTTTAGCTACCCATCCTCAGAATGGAAGGAACGTACTGCAGAGGCATTAGTAGATGCATTTCCGTTGTTAAAATCAAAAAGATTCCCACATGGGCATGTAAGTGTTCTTTAATTTTCAAAAAATTACTTTAAAACATGTTATCTAGTTATGTGATGTGTATTAATTTATGTGCAGGAAAGCTTCTATGATAAGACCACAGGAATAGGCTTTATAGAGTTTCGCCTGAAAACGCTTAGGAAGACTCTAAGTCCATCAAAGAAAAAAAGATTAGCCAAAACTTCAAAAATCTGCAGAATAGAACCATCTCTTGAAACAGAACGTTTGACTAAAGAGGATTTAGAAGAAAAGGTTTTTTTCAGCATTCGTAAAATTCATATTCATAACATTTTAAAATACTTCTGTGTTATAAATATTTCATCTATACTTAAAGAAAATGTTTGAAAATAGTGCATATAAATTTTTTGTTATAGATAATGTGGATGAAATTTAAAAATCCCATAGAACCCAATAGACAGGCGATTTCAGATATATTGTCTGAAACAATGGCTGACAGACAAACTGAAATAAGAGATTCAGGCATGACCATAACAGATGTTTTAGAGAGATATCCCAGGCTACAAGATTATAGAGGAGATATGGTAAGAAATTTAGCTAATTAATTTTCAGTTAGTAGTAATTGCACTTTAAATTTACATATACGCATAGTGTATATTGGTGTGATCTTTAAAATGTGTCGAGCCAGGAAACTTAAAATCAAAGTTTCAGCATAATCAATTCAAAGAATTTCAGTTCAAAATCATTTTTCAGCATTATGTTAAAAACACATAAGTTCTTGTAATAATTTTCATTCAGGATATGCTTGGTTTAAGAAACTGAACCATTAACCACATGCATTCAGTTTTTTTTTAAAATCAACATTTTTATGAATATGTACTAGATAACCTATTTTTGATTTTTGTATAAAGTTACTGGAAATTATGTTGTGTTTGCAGATTGATGCAGAATTTTTACGCATGCATCCCAATTCAGACACTTTCTTGGGAAAGTTTTCATCTTTTTATGTCCCAAGAATTTTGAGATATGTGGAAACAAAACGGCCTGATCTTCTGGTACCAAGTATTGCTGATTTCAATGGTAAAGATCTTTAAAAATTTAACTAGGATTATAAATCATATAATACTTTAAAACTTTTTTACGTACTGTTTTAATTACCTAAAGTAATTTTTTATCTATTACTTGCATTGGTCATTCTTAAATGGCTTATAAAGTTTTTTCTTCTGGCTTGTAAAAGTAAGCTGTAAATCCATGTACCTCTAGTACCAAAGGCCTTTTTAATGATATTTTTGTAATCCTTATGTAATAAAAGTCTGTGTATTTTTTTCATATATATAGATGATCTAAAAGCATTAGTTTTGCTCCCAGAACTTTTGCCCAGCCCAAATTATGGTAAAGGAAGAGGGAAAAAGGTAAAAAAAGGTCTCATTCATTATTAATGAGTAAATACTTGGCATAAGTCTATGCATAAAAAATAATTTCATATGCTTAGCTAAAATTCTTTTTAATAGGATAATATTTTTAGTTTGTAGTGTATGTGTATGCAAATAAGCTATTGATACTATATGTAAGTGAATTGAGCTGCATATCCTTTGAACTTTGCTACATTTTCTTTCTTGAAAGGTTCATGTGTGATATTTATGTAGCTTCAATTAATAATTACATTTCACATGCAATTGTTATCCAGTTTATGTCTTTTATATATATATACTTTTATTTTTATTTCTGTAGAGTAAAGGCAAAACAAGTATTTTGGCATCAGGCTGTTATTTACAAAAAAACATTCCAAATTCTGCACTTCTAATATTTGCTAATGTAAGTATTTATGAGTTTTGTATGCTTTGCACTTTCATTTTAAGAGGGCAGATCATATTTAAACGAGCCATTTTACAACAGTGAATGTATTTGGCCTCATGTGGCTAAAATTCATGTTCTCAAGCTGCTTTCAACTGTTGTACCCACAGATGATGCATCGTCATTTAGCTAATTTTTGTAGAATTGAAATGGCATTGATTTGAATGTCACCTACATACTAGCAAATATTTCGAGAGAATAAGAAGGTTTGTATTATGTGTGATGTCTTTGTATCATCTAAAGCATGACAGTAATCATTTCTATGCATGTATCATATAGTGAACATAGATTTTTTTTTACTTGTATAGTGTTGGAGAAATTGCTTGAATTTCAAAAAGTAATTCCAGTCAGACTAGGGCAATTATGAAATCAAGAACAAGCATCATAGTTTAATATGAAGAAATGATATTTGGTTTCATAAGAATAAGCCAGACTAATTCTCCATATTCTTTGTTCTTTTTACATTATTTATTACACTTTTCATGAAGAAGCAATGCACAAATAGCAGTATGCATTACTATCCTATTCTATATTTGCATCAATATAATACTTAAATATTCCTATATGTTTTGATACTGCACTTTTACAGAAACTAAAAGCAAAAGGCCTCTATGTGCATAAAATTACTTGAGTAGTATTTTTGTATGAAGAAAAAAATTTTCTGGCAATATTTTTTTTTAATTGGAAAGATAAACTTTCTAATATGGATAATTGGTATTTGACTTGTCCTCATAGGTATGGATGTATTCTTAATGAAGAAATTTATTTTCAGGGAATAGAAGACATGGAGTCTCTTGAACCAGGGCAGAATAAGCAACCGATTCTAGTGTGCATTTCAAATTCATTTTACATTAAAGCAGATAACAAGTTAATAGCATGTCCAAATCACGCCATGAAGGCATTTGACATTTTATTTAAATCCCATTTCGTATTTAGTGTGCAATATGCACATGTATTAACAAATTTTTACAATTTTATGGGAAGTTTTTTATACAATATAAGCACTCCTAGAGCATGTGTGGACTCGTTAAATACATGTTTCAGCAACATAGCTATTGAGTAAAAATTTATTGCATTTTTAATATTTTATTATATTATTGTTATTGAGTAAAAAATTTATGTATGTATATATGTGTTTCTTAATAAAGAGTTTTTCATGTATTGCTTGTTTTCATTTATTTTTAAATTACTTTGTTCATGGAAATTATTATAATTCTGCAGATTAATGATTTCTACTCATATTTAACCAATCAATAAAGTACATATTAATTTTCAGCAGAATTATGAAACATGAATGTTTATCTTACACATGTGAGCTAATCCATATTATTTCACTTTTACTTTATTCTTTCCACATGAGACTTCGAATTGGAATTAACATATATAAAAATAAGTTTAGTCTAAAAGTATATGTAAACAATTATTCACCTATAATGATTAATGTATAGGAATTTGTATGCATATAACTTCTCAAAAGTAAAAAGTGTTGTAAGCTAACTGAAGATAAGCTTTATTCATAATTTGGGGTTAATTAATTTTAAGTTCTTAATGATTTTGTAATAAGAAATAGAAACAATTCTTTTGCAGTATATGAAGTTAAAAACAATAGCATGAGAGTATTTTATGGTTACTAATTTTCTGAATCTCATACATTGCAAATAAAGCTGAATAATTTAGGGAAATTAAATTCACATTTTTTTCTTATTTCAATGTATATTAAAATTTATTATTCGATATTTTTATGCATATTATGCTCAAGTCGACAAAGTACTAGTAATATCAATTCACAAATTGTATTAATATATTCACTTATAAGTAGCATTTAAAGAAGAAGTTGAATCTATCAGAATATAATACAGGTTTACTGAGACACATATATACATGATCAGCTGTTTTAACACATTCAAATTTTCATTATTATAAAATTTTTTTCAAGAACTATTTTTTTTGATAAATTACATTTCCAAATATTGCGATTATTTAATTTAAAATTTAGCTTACAATTTACATGATTATGTGTTCTAATCTTGTGAATAAACATAATTTGTTTTTTAAAATAAAATTAAAATATGTATACAAAATTTAGAATATATATCACTATACATATATGATTCATCTAAAATGATTTTTTAAAATTTCTTTTATGAAACTACTAAGCATTTTTTGATTTCTCAAACCAAATTTTGAAAATTTCTGAAATATTTATTCAAAGATTTAAGTACCTGAAAAAACCTTTTTTATTCAAAAACCAAGCTTTAAGTGCGAATATCTTGCTATTCCAGTTTTTAAGTTGCTTTGTTGATTTTAATATTATTGCTTAGTATACATAAAGGCAAGAACCATGTTTCTGTAAATAAAATATATTCTGTGAATTTAAAGTAATTTCATATCAGAAGTACCCTGTGAGAAAGTGATAGTGTTATTTCAGAATGTTAAATATTGTAACATGACACCGAATTTCCAATATTTTAATGTGGATGTAATATTTTGATATATATATATATATTTCGCTAGATTTGGAAAGAAAAACTATATGTCCAAATAAAGAAGATATGATTATCCTAAAACAATGCTTTTTATTTCAGTGATGGTCTACTTAATAATCGTCTTCATGACCAATAAATGTTTTTGTAAGTACATAGGTAGCAAATCTAAAACAGCAGATATTTAAAGTCACAATATAGCATGTTAAAAAGTAGTGTAAAACATTTTTTCAAGATAATATTAACCAGAAATCTAAAACTTTGCCTCAGCCATAAATTTTACATAGCAAATACGAATTTTCAGTTTGCCAATAAAACAAATGTAAAATAATTATAAAAATCGCACCATCAAGGAGTGAGCAGACTATTATGACTCCTTGTAATGTGTGTGGTTTCACCTGAATATCGGGCGATATCTCGCTATCGGCAAGAGTGAACGAAGAAAGGGTCACTCCTTTTTTGTGTGAGAAGGAACCACTTTTTATTAGAGTGAAAAGTCGCTCTTTTGAGGTTGGTGCCATTTTGGCATTAGAGGGAGGTGAGATGTCACTCTTTTGGAGTCGGATACAACTCTTTCGAATTTAGAGTGTATAATGATATTTTTCAACTAAAATCTGTTAAGAGTTCCAAATAAAGCACCACTTCCAATTTATCCCATAATAGTTAAAATCTAATATGTTATTCTCATTCATGATTGTATACGCGTCGTATATGCATGTGCAAGTTTGATCCAAATTAAATACCAAATCTGATAATTTTGGATTATAACACAAAATATTTTGTTCAGAAAAGTTTGTCCAAAGCTTCACTTCCGAGCCGTTCAATTTTGGCCCAAATCTGATATATTGCTCTCATTATATAAAAGTTTTAAATTTTAAAATTGAAAAGTTTGGAGTACATATTAATATCGTTTTTCATTAAAATCGGTTGTGCTCTTCGATTAAACTTTACATGGACACTTCCGGATGTCCATGTAATGTTCAAGTAAGTATCATTTCAAGTTTAGCCAGACACACTTTACCCAAATCTGATATTTTGTTTTCATTAATATAAAAGTTTTAAATGCTAAAATTAAAAAGTTTCGAGTATATTTTAATACATATTTTCATTAAAATCTGCTGTGTACTTCAACTAAAGTACCACTTTCGGGTGTGCATATAGGCTTCAAATAAAGTACCCTTGAGATTATCCAGTTTTCCAAATCCAATCAACTCTTGATATGAATTGGGAAGTCTTAAATACGGAAACAGAAATTTTTGGAAGTTTCATATGAGAGTTATTGCGGATTAGGATATCATCACACACATGTACATAGACAGACTGACACAGAAACACTGTAAAACCAGTAAAAATGTATTATGAGAGCATTAGAACCCTAATTTGTGCTTATTCACTAAAAACTCACTATCCAATTTTGGAAGAAAACATTACTACTTTCCTTACTTATGCGTATAGGTTGCTGAGATGTAAGAAGGTAGAAGTATTTTTGTTACTTTACTTAGCATCTGAGGCAGGTGAATTTTATTTTTTGCTGTGAGAACGGTAATAATAATTATAATAATAATAATAAAGCTTATGTCGTAACAAAGTAGCAGTTGTTCTTAACAAATGTTATGAATGTTTATACAGATATTATAATGAATTAGGCCTTCCTAAACCCATATAATATGCATATCAGTTGCAAAATTTGACAATGCTTTTCCTGTACTTACTAAAATCTTCATCAAAAATAATATCTATTGGTAATGGATAATGATAAAATTCTGTCGTTAACTATAGATTGCAATAGTTTAGCTGTAGCTTTTCTTAATTTTATTCGAACAATGACCTTTTGTAATAACGCTTCTGTGCTTCTTTGTTTATATTTTAGGTTAAAAAAATAAAAAAGGGCCAAGCCCTTAAAATTAAAATATTTTTTTGAGTTTTGTATAATATTTACGATGAAAATCTGTCGCCGTTAATTATTTTCATAAAAAAATGAAGCAAAATATTTGTACGATTTCAACTGATCTGTATTTGAGCAAAGTTTTGTTTCAAATTGTTAGTTAACTGTTAAAAGTATACCTAATTAAATTCTTGTTGTAGTAAGAAAAATTAGATTTTATTTTGTTCCTAGTTTATAGATGATGTAACTATATAAATAGGTACTTGTAAGTACCGAAAAGAAAATTTCTTGGCTGTTTCGCATTCCAAACTTTACAACTTTAACGTATTAATTAGCTATCTCATCTAAAATGTTAAATACACTTGTTGCTAAGAGCCAATGGTTCATTAAATTTCATGAACGTTTCCCTGACAAGATAAGGAGTAAATAGCTGAAGATATATCTTTAATTCTGTTTTAAAAGTACCACTGTAGAGAAACAGTATCTTCACTTCCGTTCTCCGAGCAACGCAACATTTTGGATCTTCTTCTGAAGAAGAGTTTATTTGTATAATTACTTAATTTACATTTCCTTTTTAGAATCTTCCATTCGTTCATTAGGATGACAGATAGATTGTCAAAATAAGAACAAGTTAATATTTATCAAGTGAAACAAATGTCACGATACGATGAACGCGTTTACGAAGGCAGCTAGATTTTAAAACATTTCTTCCGCACGTGTTTTGTAGTGCAGCGGTTAGTACATCCAGCTCGGTATTGCGAAATCCCTCATTCGACTCCCAGAGACAGCACGAACCCAAGCTGAATGATTAAGACCTCCAAGATCCGAGTTCGAACCCAAGGGAAAAGGGAAATGGTTTTCGTGGTTTTTCTTGCGCTTAATGTGAATGCGAGCTAATTTCCGTTAGAAATTCCTCTACAAAGACACTCTTTTTTTTCCCTTCCTTTGCGTGTTTTGCCACATTCAAATAACTCAACAACATCATAGTTGCATCGCAAAAAATCTTCCACGCAGACCTTTCTTTTCTTTCAGACGTGTAGTTCCTTAGTGCATATTTTACCACAATCAAATAATACACATCTTGCAGAAGTATTACAATCCTTATAAAGTATTTCTCCCACCTTATTGGCATGCCTAGGTGGTGTGGTGGTCTGCACGCTGGGCGTGTATTCCAGAGGTCCGACGTTCGATTCCCGGCGAAGGCGTTGCTATTTTTCAAGTCTTTCCTGCTTCCTTTAAAAAAATAATCTAATGTCTTTACAGTGGCGTCCGAACTAAAAGGGTGGTGGATGATGATTCTAAAGAGCCAGGATTTGGCGATTGGGTCCCCTAAAAGCCCCAGTCACCGTTTTAAAAGGGGGAGTATATAAGGTATTTCTCCAGCCCTCTTAGCATGCATTCGTGGTGTGGTGGTCTGTACGCTGGGCGCGTATTCCAGAAGTCCATGATTCGATTCCCGGTGAAGGCGTTGCTCATTTTTCACCTCTCCTCCCTCGAAATAACCTAATGTCTCTACATCCTTATATTCTAAGGATCATACTGTTGATATATTTTAGTAAAATTTCCTGTACGTTTCTCCCTTCGTTTAATTTATAATTTTTCTTCTAATTTGAAACGCACTATTTTTTCCATATAACACGGTGAGATGCGGTTATAGAGACAGACCCCGTTATTTTTGTCCTTTCATCCCTTTATTCCCTCGGGGGCGGGGTGG